GTGATTACATGTGATGTCTGATTGCAGCCTCATATTTCCTTTTGTGAAACTTCTAGACCTTATAGTTGCATCAGTAGGTTTGAATATACAGGCAAGGAGCATGACTGAAAGGCTCAGGCTCACCTGTGACTGAATACCTGGGAAAACATATTTAGTACCTCACATTCTTTTTGCACAAAAAGAACACATAAAGGAACTTGTGGAGTCCTGGGGCTTCTAGATCTTCTCTCCCCACAAAAAAAAAATGTTACGGGTTACATTTTAATGGACACTTAGGAAAAGCCTGGAACCGAAAACACAGACCAGATGTTAAGTGCAACATACGGAGCTTGTGGGCTGTGTTTTGTTTGTTTGTTTGTTTGTTTAGTCACCAGTTGTGCAGACTGGAGGCAAAGGGGAGGAGAGAACCAAGCAGCCTTTAAAAGAACCACCGAAGCAACAGAGGAAGACTGTGAACACAAGTGAGTGAACACAAGTGAGTGAAGGAGTAGCACCTGCTACTAGGAACTAAACAATGCTGCTAACTGAAAGTACTTAGCCCAGACAGGACATGGGGCAGAAATGAATAAATAAAAGTGCAAATATATAAAATAATTGTCAAGGAGTTGATACTAGAACATTTCTGAATCAACACATAACTGAACGTTTTAGCCATTCTTTGGGAACAGGAAATCATGGGAAAACTTAGGAAATCACTAGCCATCCTTCTCTAAGCTTCCTCTTCTAGTGTTCTGCCTGTACAAGGGCAGGGCAGACACTGACCAATGCCCTCTCCATATCCTGACTAAGGACTAAAGTACACAAAAGAACAGCAGTCAGGGAGGGAGAGCCCCAGGCTAAAAAGGAAGGACTTTGGATGCTGATGGAGTTTCTCAGGCAGCTGCTTCCTCAGTAGCTTTACTTCGTCACAGGAAAGTCAGCCTATAGCAGCCGAATTCTCACCCCTCCTCTGGCCTAGTAAAACTTGCCATCTGTTTAAGGGTCAGGGGAGGAAAAAAGAGTGCCAGATTTGCAACTTGCCATTAGACAGGAAATGGTCAAAAGTCCATCTCTTGTGTCAGGAACCTTATTGTCTGCCAGAAGCTTTTTGATTATATGCACTGAGATCATTGTCGTTGTCTTACTACTACACCCTGCATTGTGTAATTTCATTTTCTACCTCTCCCAAAAGTCCCAACCCCCAACATTTGACAAAGCATTTTAGAATGACAATCGGAACAAATGGAACATATACAGGCACTTAAGACAACATGCACTAATTGTGTCTAGACCAAACCACATGACACAATATGAAGCACCTGAGCTGAGAATAAACTGTTATTGTTTTCAACCATTGCCTCCCCTCCACACTGACTCGCCAAACCTCTTTAAGGGGTGGTGCATTGTTTCTTTAACCAGCAGCAGGGATAATTTAAAAAGTCACGAAAGCTTTGAGAAATACTCATAATGTGTGTCTGTAAACTGGAAACATGGGGTCTTACACTTCTTCTATGAGATAAAGTAGGGGTTGAACTAGAGATCACAAAGGAAAATGTGGGTTTCTCAACCCAGTTTCCCTTGTTATTCTCTTGTGTTGCTAGGTAGGAGGGACACTTTCAATTAGCTAAGCTAAGAGAGAAAGAGAGAGAGACAGAGAGGGAGAGAGACTGAGACTGATTGGCTCACTCAGCTTATGACCAAAATAAGGTGTTACAAGACTGGGTGGGGATTTGAACCATGGTCTTCCAGGTCTTGGCCTGACGCTGTATAGTGGAAGGCTTCCTGGCATTCTGCTGCTTGGGGGGGGGCGCTAGGATTGCCAGGTCTCTTGGACCTACCGGCGGGGGGGGGGGGTGAACTTACTGGGAGCAGGGAGGAATGCTGAAAATAAACACCTGAAACCAAGGGACCCCCGCCTGCAGTGGGGGGGGGTCTGGCATCCCTAGCAGAGGCTGATGTCACTTCTGGTAAAAAACACTTTTACCATAGAGTTTTTGTAAACTCTAGTGCATCTAATGACATCACATCCTGTTTTATTCCAGAAGTGATGTTAGCATGCCTGCACACCAGGCCTCAATCCCTAGTTTTTCTGAAGGATTGCCAGCTATGACCTGGCAACCCTAGCTCTATACCACACTGGCTTTTCTTAGTCATTCTTAGAATGACTAAAAACTAAATAATGTTTTACAAAGTGTTTAAGCTCACATAGATCAGGCCTCCTGTTTCCAGTTTAGGAGAGCAATGGCAACCCCCCCCCAAATCATTTAATGTCAATGACTACTCAACTTATGTGATTTTTCTACGTATGTCATTTTGAGTTAGAATGCCTGGACATTCTGGTCATTGTTGAAAAGTGCCTTGCATAAGACAAATTCAGACAGTGGCAGACAATGCAATAATGGTTCAGATAAACCATTTTCCACAAACCTTTGCACAATTGAAAGAAACAACTATCTGTACTTCCAATCAAAACAACAGATTCACATTTCATATTCTCAAGTTTTCTGGTTTAATTCAAAAGGAGACATTGATCTGGGCATGCTCCATTGAGTTCCAAGTGTTTCTGTCAGGTTTCAATTGATTCTTGAGAAATCAGAGACTACGTTGCTCAGAGAATGTTGACAGTGGTTTGGCCAGCAATGGCACCAGTGGAAAAGAAAAAAAAAATTCTGCTGTCTTTGAAAGCGTTTAGCCTTTCAGGAAAAACTGCTGTAATCATTTACCCATTTACCTATGTGAACTACCCTGGTAATATGCCCAGTTTGGCAAGGGTTCAAGGCAAGCTCCTTTCCCTGCAATGAACCTAATACTGAGAGGGTAATACAAAAAACAGCTGTGTCACATGAGCTATGGCTAAGTTGATATTACACCTGAAAGGCTACTGTGCGTTTTGTGGATATCTTTCCATTTTTCCTCATTATATGGAACAACTCATACTTAATTTTCTGTACTTAAAGCTTCTCCCCATTCACCTCTTGGTTTTAAACTCCTGAAAGACCCCACCTAGTAACAGATGAAACCCAGGTACCCATCCCCCTTTTGTGTCAAAATGAGCTTGATGATTAATTTGACTTACTTTCCAAAACAAGGAAATAATTGTTTGGTTTCTGAGCCCATTCTAAAGTCTGCATTCCACTGTGCTTTCCATAACATCATTGGGTCTGTAAAAGGAGCCCAAATGCTGTGCTACAACTATATTTGAGTACATGAGACTATTACCACCTTCCCCCAAATTTACATGGCGATGGCTGCAACTAAGAGAGAGGCTGCACAGGAAGCATCACCTAAAAGCCTCCATTATCCTCAGGGAAAAATAACTCTGAAATGGCAGCATTGTGCTGTAGTATCATAGATCCCAGGAACAACTACGTGAAGTAAAGCCTAATCAGCAGTCTGTGAGCATATGCATACCGCCTAGATTTTTTTGTTTGCATGTTCAGGCTGCAATCCTAAGAACACTTTCCTGGGGATAAGCTGAATAGAACCAAATGCATAGAATACAATTGCCAGGTGGGGCCTGGTGGAAGGGTTGCCTAACCCTTGGTCAGGGTGGGGGTTCCCCTGATTTGCAGGGGCTCCAATCCGCTGCCAGCCAGCTAGCCAGAGGGGGAAGCCCCCCTCCAACAGCCCCTTTTGGGTTGACATTGAAAGTGTGATGATGTCACCCAAAAGTGATGCCATCACACCGGGCACGTTCTGTGTTGACGCTCTGGCATTTTGGCCAAAACTCTATTGTTACCATAGAGTTTGGGGCCAAAATGCTAGAGCGTCAACATGCGATGTGCCCAGCATGATGACGTCACTTCCAGATGACATCATTGCAACGCATGCAAGAAGATCCCAGGAGGGACCTGAGAGCCCCCTGCTAAAACCCAAATAAGACCTGGCAACCCTACCCAAAGGTCTCCCAGAATTACAACCTATCTCCAGACTAGAGAGATCAGCTCCCCTTGAGGAAATGGCAGCTTCAAAGACTGGACTTTATGGCATCACATTCCTTCTGAGCTTCCTCCCTTTGCCAAACTCTGCCCTCCCCAGGCACTACCCCTAAATCTCCATGAATTTCTCAAAGCAGAGTAGGCAACCCTGGATTTACTTCTGAGTAGATTTTCTTTAGAGTGCACCAGTAGAGAAGTGAATAGTGTCTGAACCTCTCACTGCAGCTAGATCATTGTTTCCCTTTAGCCACATCTACTAGCTTCCTCGAGTAGATATTCCTAGAATTCTTCAGAGTGATGAGGATGGAAATTTTTTCATTGGCTTTTGAATATTGGGATGGATCTTGTGGAAAAGATCTGCACACTTGGGGGTGGGGGGCAATTATCACTCATTCTTTCCCTGCAGCAGCAGCAGCAGCAGCAGCAGCAGCAGCAGCAGCTCAACTCCTCTCTCATGCTGCTTTTAAAGGTCTCCCATTCCCTAGGAGCAGAATTTTTGGGGGTATTTCAGCCTACAGTGAGATGGGGAAGGCAAAAAAGTCACATTTCCATCCACTGAAATTTTACATGAGATCCAGCCCACTGTCTATTGCAGCCTGTCACAATGCCACTGGCATCCCAACTTCATCTTATCAAGAGCCTGATAGATCAACCTTATAAAGGCCCCGGTCACACGGCAAAGTTGCCGCGGGAGAGGCACGGATGGTGGGCAGATTATCCGTGCGCAATCACACCCCAACATCTGGGAAGTGGAGTGCACCCGTGGCTTACTGCCGACAATGCGAGTTAAAAAACTAGTACCTCCAAGGTACTAGTAAATGTTTGCCACGGGCTGCCTCCAGACGCCCGTGGTGTGATCGCGCCTGAGTGCGGCATTCCCCTCTGGTCCCTCGTTTACCCACCGGCGCCGAGGGAAGGACCCGTGGTGTGCCGCCGGTGCATCTGATCACGTAATCGCGCATCAAACTGTGCCAGGGCAATTAGCCATGCCTCCCCCCCGCGATATCCGGCCCGTGTGACCGGGGCCCAATACAGTATACGACATAAGGTAGTCAGTGTAATAACATAATACATTCCACTTACTATGCAGTAAGCCACCAGGGCCCCTTGTGCAAAGCCTGCCAATACATCTGACGGATGATGTTTGTGATCAGATACACGAGACAGTCCTGTGTAAAAGGCCATCATAAGCAGAGTAAACTGCAGCAGAGGACGTAGCAGGCGGGCTCCTCTCCAGGTAAACCTGGCTTGCAGATACAGCTGCAAAGGAAGGAGAGGACAAAACATTATCATTCTATTCACACATTCGTCTGCACACAATATGACATAGAAGCTACAGAAATCAGGCATTACAACACAGGTTCTTTTATTAGTGCAAGACAGAGGTGATTAGGATTCCCCTAATACTCCAGTTTACTGGGACAATATCTATACATTTCTTGCATGGGCTTAGCATCACACCAAAGATGTGGAAGAACTTTCCTCCAAAGGCAGTTAGGGGCTAAGAAAATACCATGCTAATCCTGCATGTTGGATCCTGTGGATACAACAGCATCAAATTGACTGCTGGAGGAGTGGGAAGAAGGGAACATCTGGGGTCTTGGAAAGGGACACAGTACTTTTACACCATATTCCAAAAGCATAGTAACTTGATGTATTAATGATGGATTTTTAAACTGAATTACACCCTGGGATAGACTGCACTTTTAAGAAAAAGTCTTGAGAAAGCTGCATGCTGAGGAGAAATTCAGTCAGATTTCTGAATTCAGTTGAATTTCAGCTTTAGCTGAGAGCAATTTAACACAAACAGAGAAATGGGGGGGGGAAGTTGGCAAGGAAGTTTGGGAAGTAAACAAAGACTCCCATTTGGGCCAAGGAAAGGGGATAGATCTTCTAGAGAGAGAAGAAAATTCCCTACCCTGTCAAACAGGGAGTTAGCTCTGAAGAGTGCAGAGATTCCTGATCTGGTCTGGTAAGAAACTGCCTGTAGAAACCTTAAGAATCAGTTAAGAACTCAAGATGAGTACTGGTGTTTCAAGAGAAGGGTTTGGGGTACTGGAAAGAGTATACCAGCCTCAGGAAACCAAAAGAGTCAGAGAATACTCAAAGAAAGTACACTGGAGTGTTTGGGAAGACACTGGAACAAAAGCCTCTCAAGATAAAGATTTAAGTAACTATAAATAGCTTAAGAAACTCTCATTAGCTTGAAATACAAGAACTAAAGTCTGTGCATGTACTGGTTTTACCTCAGAGTTACCTCAGAAATTTCATCCCCTGGTTTCACCTGACATTTCCCCTCCATGTCAAATAAAATATTTTGTTATTTTTGAATTTCAAAATGTCTTGAGCACCATTTAAGTTATTTAAGTTAGTGGGCACTTTTCACCCTCGAACACAGCACTTTGTTGGAAAGGATGTGGAAAAGTTTTTATACTCTATTTTCTCCCCAATGGGAACCTAAAGCCGCTTCCTACAGCATTCTCTCCTCCTCCATTTTATCCTCACATCAGCAAGACTGTGGGGTAGATTAGAATAGAAGAGAGGTCACCCAGCAAGCTTCTGTGGCAGAGTAGGGAACTGAACCTGCATCTCCCAGTTCCAGTTCCAAGTCCAAAACTCTGAACTAATATGTCACTTGTACGTAAATCTGCATCAAACTATAGGTGTATTTTCTTCTTGTTACAGTTTTCAGTTTGGAAGTTATCTAAGAATGTGCATAGATGAATTTGTCTTTACTTTGTGAGCTACCTTGACCAGGTCCCTGGAGAAGCAGTGTATACATTCTCTAAATGCACAAGAGTCCTTCTGGTTCACACCAAAGGTTCATGCAGTCTATTGTTTCCAGTAGGGGATAGCAAGATGAGGGATGGGCACGAACTGCATTTTTGTGGTTTTAGTAAGAGGGAAAAACAAATCAGCAATCATTCAAGGACTTAAACCTAAAACAAAGTTATTAAAATGATGTCAAATGTGCATTGTTGCCCTCTTTCTACCTTGCACTACCACACTTATCCTGATCTAGTTTCCTCTCAAAAGCTTTGGGCATAATCTGTTTCCTTGAATCCTGCTGGAATAAGCTTACTAACATACAGGTATGACCAGGGGCTCACCCAGAACGGACCTCCAGATGACATAGATCATTTCCCTATAGGAAATGGCAGCTTCAGAGGGTAAGGCCGTAGTACTGTCAGCAATGTATAATGTATGCAGGGAAGATAAGCATGGCACCATAGCTATTATGTTACACCTGCTATATCACACCTGTTCTAGGTTGTAAGCCTGCAGGCAGGGTTGCTTGCTTTCCAAATAATCAGTGTATGGCACCTATCCATTGAAGCCCTTTATAAATAATACATGTTCTTATTCCTATAATACAGAGTACAAAAACAACTACCCACACATTTTGGGGATGCCCTAGATGTCTGCTCTTAAGAATAAAAAAATACACCATGAGATTTTAAAATTCCCTGAATTAGCTGAATAAATAATAGGCAATCGGATTAGGAGTTAATTGCTAAAGGTCTGGTTCTGAAACTCACTGTTGAACTTTCCCTGTGCAACTTGTCAGTATTTTCTTATTAAAAGTTCAGGTAACTTGTTAGTAGGGGGAAGGCACTTCGCATTCTGGTGAAAAGTTCACTTGGTGAGGCTATCCAACGTATTTCACAGCTGCAAAACACCACAGCACTGAATGGGAATTTGAGGGCTGAGCTCCAGAGAGCCCTGGCTCTACACTAGTGATTTAGATTCAGTTGAGTAGCTGTGGCCCCAGTCACATGGCAAAGTTGCCACGGGAGAGGCACGGATGGTGGGCAGATTATCTGGGCGCGATCACACCCCAACATCTGGGAAGAGGAGAGCACCCGTGGCTTACAGCCGAAAATGCGTGTTAAAAAGGTAGTACCTCTAAGGTACTAGTAAACGTTTGCCACGGGCTGCCTCCAGACTCCCGTGGTGTGATTGCGCTGGTGTGTGGGATTCCCCTCCGGTCCCGCGTTTACCCACCGGTGCCGAGGGAAGGACCCGTGGTGTGCCGCCAGCACGTCTGATCACGTAATCGCAGATCAAACTGCGCCGGGGCAATTAGCCACGCCTCCCCCCCCCCGCGATATTCGGCCTGTGTGACCGGGGCCTAAGTTCGTCTGAAGGAAGGGGGTTGGACTCAAACTTTGTACTTGTGATTTATGTTGCTCTGTATGCAAAGGCCATTTTCTACCACCAATACTCTTTCTTATTACATTTGCATCTGACAAAGTGGGCTCCAGGTCTCCAAATCTTCTGTTGTATTATCTAGTCTTTAAAGGGTCACAGGACTCTCCTTTGATATTTGATGAAAAGATTTGGAGAGGGAGATTGCTAGACTGGCTGCAGAGCAATTCTGAAAGGTGATTTTTTTCAAAGGGGAAAATAGTAGAACAGCTTGACTTTCCCATCACTCAGGCTGGCTGGAACCCCAGTGAGATAAACACCACTTATAATTTTTTGAAGAATACAGAGTTTTTAAAAAATCATCAAAATCATCTCGGAAAGAAAAGCTCCAATATTTCCATGAAATGTCTTATATGGGTCCATTACCAAATGTTCTGTTGGGATAGTGTTTGGTTTTCATTAAAATAATACTATGGGCTAGGGGTTGAGCGGTCAGAAAAAGGAGCAATACATCACAGCATTTTATATCTGTGATGAAGTGAGCGTTTGTATCTGCTTTCCTGGTTGTCATTAATGCAGATTTAAAGTTACTACTCGATATATTAAGGCATATTTTCCAAGATTACAGGAAACTTGATCCAATGGGTGCCCAAAGAGGATTTGTATTTCAACAGCAATGGCACTGATACAAAACTATTCCCATCTAATAAGAAGAAAGTGATGTATATCTATGGTGGACTGGTTGAGACTCAAGAGGGCTTTTGTACCTTTTAGAAATGTACAGAAGCTGGAGCTTCAGGTGCTTTCTATCTTTCACCTTGTTATTATAGCAGCAAAAACCATACCTGATGGAACTCTCCTTTTGATGCATCTTGCAAGGCACAGGAGATCTTTAAATGGCTAAAGGCTGCGATCACACGCACAATTGGCCCTGAGATAGGCGCGAATGCCAGGTGGATTTAAAGGGCGTGATCAGACAACATCTGGGAAGCACCCCACAACCGTTGACAACCCATTTTGCTCCGCTGTAGAAGTGGAGTTAAAACACACCGGGGAAAGTCTGGTAACAAACGGGTTGCTACGGGCCACGGAGGGACTTTCCCCAGTCTGATTGCTCCAGCGCGCTCTCATGGCATTGGGATGGTCTGATCAGGCCATCCCAACTCGGTGCTGTTGTTTTTCCTCCCCCTTCTCAGTATGCGCATCATCGCACACTCCGTAGGGAGCCCTCGGTGCTGAGATGCGATTCATCGATTCCCCATTTAAGCACATCGGGAACAAACAGCAAACCCCCCCCCCAGACTCACCCGTGGTTGTGTCTGATCGTGCAGTGGCGGGCTGCCCCCACAGCTTCAAAGGACTCGCAATTGCAAGTCAGATTCCTCCAGAGGGAATATCTTCGCTTCCCACCCCCCCAGTTTATCTAGCATGTGTGACTGCGACCGAAGTGTACCAAAATCACCTTTTAACTGAAAAATGTAAATAACCCTCTTTTGGCCAAACTTTTACTATAGTTAGCAAACAAATGTTTGCTACAGTGTGTGAAGGGTTATCTAATGAATGAATCTAATCCTATGTCTCTGTTCATGAAAACCACCCCATTCCTCATCCATGAACCAGTTTTTGTCATTGATATTATCCTGCCTTCTGTCCTCCTTATATCCCAAAGGCTTTCATTATAAAATAAAACCAAGCTAAGGAAAGCAAATATTTAATGTAAAAAAAATCCAACTGAATTTAAGTTGTTTTCACAGCAGACAGTAAGTGAATTACAAGTGGGTTTTGCTCAAGCCTTGAACTGCTGCTAGCTCAGGCTTAGGAGGTTTATGGAGGCGCCTGTGTGGTATTTATACAGTAATATAAAATAAGCAATTTCTACTGTGGGCCAATAAGCAGCAGCAGGAAAGCATTACCCAATAGCATAAAGAAGAAGGGTGTGACAAAACTCAAAGGGGAGGGAAGAAAGCGGTGACCTGGTGACCATATGTACTAGCAGTTGTTGGCAGACTTCTCAAACCAGTTGGCATAGCAGCTTCACCACACAGAAAACTTTCAGGGCGATATGTAATATGGCCACGATTAGGGAGGGGGCTTCCATGATGTCAATGGGG